TCACTCTGTCTATATACAATAAACCCAAAAGGTATCAATAGAAGATACTCTTCTACAACAGGATTTGCTACAAGACATTTGCTCACTGAGGAACTAAGCAAAAGCATAAAATCGACCATTCTCTTCAATAAAATGTAGATTCGATGCTTAAACAATAAAAGCAAAGCAGAAATAAATATTGGTGGTATTTACTCTTCTTCCTCCTTTTAAGGCACAGTATTTTGTCATACTTTCTAAAAGACACAGTAATATTCCTACAGAATGCCCTGTAATATTCCTATAGAATGCCCTGTTAATCTACCAATTTTACTCAATTTAAATAAGAATGTTCTCACAAAAGGCTACATATTGTATATTTCCATTTATATGAAATGTTCAGGATAGGAAAATCTGTAGAGACAGAAAGATTAGAGGCTGCCAGGGGCTAGAGGAGAGAGAAATAGAGGGTGATTGCCAATGGATATAGGATCTCTTTTTGCGGTGATGAAACCACAGAAATGTACACTATAAAGGGTGAATTGTCTAGTATGTAAATTATAGCTTTTAAAACATGCTCCAAAAGAAATCAAGAAAGCAGTTACATGTTTCTCAACAATAGTGCACAATATCCATTCAAAAAATTACTGGTGTAAACACACACATTAAATGTGCTTAAAATAAACTTTATACTTATAAAGCAACAGTAATGAAAATATGAGATATTGGGCCTAATATATGGTGTTGGAAGATGATTTGACTTTGGGTGGTGGGCAAAGAATGCAATATACAGATCTTGCATCATAGAAATCTATGCCTGAAACCTGTATGGTCCTTTTAACCAATGTGACCCCCAATACATTTAATTAAAAAATTAAAATTAAGCCAGTAGCTGAATAGTGTGGGGGAAAATAAAGTCTGTAACACTAAAAAATGAAAAATAAAAATCAATCAATGAATATATATTTTAAAAAACACACATAGCCCTGGCCGGTTTGGCTCAGTGGATAGAGCGTCAGTCTGCGGACTGAAGGGTCACAGGTTCGATTCTGGTCAAGGGCATGTACCTTGGTTGCGGGCACATCCCCAGTGGGAGGTGTGTAGGAGGCAGCTGATCGATGTTTCTCTCTCATTGATGTTTCTAACTCTCTATCCCTCTCCCTTCCCTTCTATAAATGATGTATGAATAAAATATATTTAAAAAACAAAAAACAAACAAAAAAACCCAAACACACATAAAAATAAAATATGAGGTACTGGTGAAGGAGCAGACAATGAAAAAGAGTAAGATCCTTGACAAAGACCAAGCCTATATAGGAATTTAGTATATAACAGAAGAACTAGATATTAGTGAGGAAAGGACAGAAGATACAAAGAATGATACTAGAAAATGGCTTATCAATATAGAAAAAAATTAGATCTTTACCATATAATATACCAAACTCCAAGTGGTTTAAAGACCAAATATGAAAAGTAAAACTTAAAAACTTTTAAGAAAAAACAAAAACATAAAACAAGAATACATCTTTACGAACTTAAGGTGGGGGAGGATTTCTTAAACAATGCATAAAGCGTACGAGCCAAAGGAAATAATAAACTCAACAGTATTAATTTTAAAAACTGTATGCCAAAAGACAACACAAACAAGTGAAAAGACAAGCCCCCAGACTGGGAGAGGATAAATATAATGCATAAAAAAAAGCCAAGTTCTACCCCCCAACGTTTAAAAAATATATATTTTATTGATTTTACAGAGGAAAGGAGGACAGAGTTCGAAACATTGATAACAAACATTGATCAGCTGCCTCCTGTATGCTCCCTACTGGGGACTGAACTTGAAACCAAGGTACATGCCCTTGACCAGAATTGAACCCGGGACCCTTCAGTCCACGGGCCAACACTCTATCCACTGAGTCAAACTAGTTAGGGCCCTTCCCCAACTTTCTTGCAAATGTTCCCAGTTTGTACTATGTTCATCAGTTCTGCCTTACCATTTCTCATCTGGATAAGAGCAATAGCTTCCAAACTGTTCTGCCTATTTCTGAAATTGTCCACCTCTAATCTGCTCTGTAGAGCACTGACAGAACATAAAAAGAAAAACAGAAAAAAACAACAACCCACAAATTTAATAACCTCCCATGGCTCTCCATGCCTTAGGATGAAAATCCAAAAGCAGATCTCTTTTGATTTGTCTCCTATGTACTTGTTCAGCCTCCTCTCCTGCTGCTGCTTCAGCTTTCCCACCTTGCCCTCCACCAATCTAACATTTCCTCTCATCAACCACTCATCCTTTAAGAGTCTAATCTATTCAGATGTGTTAAAATATTCCAAGAAACTTTTCCAGATTGCCCCTCACACATCACACACCCTCTGTAGGCAGGTCAAGTACCCTCTCCTCCTGGCATGGCATTCTACCTCGACTCTACCATAGCACTTAATACACTGTACAGGGCCATCTTGACCTAAAGGAAGGGTGAGCGTATGTGTAAATGAACATGATCCTAAAACATCTGTGTGTAAGAAATAATAGCAAAATACTCTATTTCATCAATTCTGGATATCAGCTACTGTCTGTTAATTGCCCTCTGTAGGCTGAGGCAATGTTGGGCTAAGGTTTATGCCAGCTTTTCCCTCCTTCTCATTCTGCTGCTGCTAACTTTTGGGAAGGAAACCAAAAGTTACAGCCAGGCTGTCCCCATCCCAACCTACACAAGCTTCTCTAATAAAATATTTATTGAACACCTACTATTTACCAGACACTGGACTAAGCACAATAGTTACAGGGACGAAAATTTAGGCAAGCTTCCTACAATCATACATTATTACTGGAGACAGGAAAGCAATAAAGGAAAAGTGCAGGAGATGAGGCTCAGAAATTGCTCCTGGTAAGGCTTGTTTATTCATTTCATATTGAGTGCCTGTATTATGTTTAATCCTAAGGACTACAGATAAAAGATAACCAGACAGAGGCCTGCTGACAGAAAGGGACAAGTGCCCTGGATGACAAAAGAAAACTTTCGGGTTGAGAAGCTAGGTGATGTGAGAACAGAGAGGATGCAAGGGAGCTCCAACATTTCCAGGCTTAGGAAACAAAAAGTCCTAACCTGTGAGAAGGGAGAGGAGTGCCTTCCCCACATTAAACTAAAAGCATTTTCAATTCCGTTTAAAACTTTCTTGGCTTCTTAATATCACAGCTTCAAATTAATCTAGTTTATTATTAGAAAGGCCTTTCTTGATATGTTACAAAACAAAATTATAAGTATTTAATGAAAGCACACAACTTAATTCAGGAAAGTAAAAACAAATTAGATGCCAGAGAATATAGAAAGACTGAAGTTTATTTTGAGGACATAAGACTACTTCATCTCTGAATCCCCAGGCCTACTACAATACCTGGCACATTATCAATAAACAAATCAATCATAAACAGAATGGAGTACTACAGTTAAGGGGCCATAGGACTGGATTAACAACTGAAAAATTAAATATGAACTAATAGCCATTATGTAATTAGTATTGCTGAAATCCCATGGGCTGTTTGTTAACACCATGCATTTAGAACTGATTGTACAGATTTGCTTTTTCCTTCCTAAGAAAGGTCATGAATAAAGCTAGAAAATATCTGCACTTTGATTATTTATATGTCCAACACAAAACCAAACTAGCAGAAGAAAGAGTGGGTAGCTCAGAAGAAGGCAAGCTTCCTCAGACCTCAGGAACGAGCTGCTAAGAGCTAAAAAACCAACCACAATTTTCTATGATGATTTTTCAAATAAAGACAATAATAAACTTATTGGCCAAGCTAAAAAAAAAAAAAAAGATTATGGGTCCTTTTACTACTAAAATTTTTAATATTTTCGATTCCTAACAACTGAAATCTCTGGGTCACATGGATTTTGTAGTTAACTTTCACAAAAATATGTAGGGGAGGAGAAAATTTGCAGTGGTAAAGACAGCACTATAATAACCATTTTTCAAAGTCTGTTCATTTAAACATATAGTCGTCACAGCTAAAAAAGAAAAACCCGGAATCGAACCTGGGACCCTTCAGTCCACAGGCCGATGCTCTATCCACTGAGCCAAACCGGTTTCGGCAAAAAAACTATATTAAGCCAATAGTTTTCCTAATGAATAACCTCTAAGTGGAAATTTATTTTACAAAAATAAATAAAAAGGCTTTTGTTCACATCTTAAAACATTGTTTAGCTATTTTAAAATGTGTAGCAATAGATAAGTAAAAATAAAGTCCTTTCTACACTTACCATGTTGGCATTTCAAAATCAGAATTATACACTAATTTACTATAAGAAATATTTACTACAAGAAAAATTTGATCTCCAACTACTCTCAGATAACTCAAACCAGTATCAGCCAAATATTGCTTGCATCAGTTAAAGTGACTATGTCTGCTACACAGTGATGTTCATTTATAGGTCATAAGTCAAAACAATATACTGGAAAATAAGGACTTGGCAGTTCTCCTTTCTAGTCCAACCAATGGCATACAAATGACTTTCAGTAAATTCCTTAATCTCTGCCTAAGAGATTAGAAAATGAAGCTATTCAAAAACTGACCATGGATATATATTCTCATATCTGTGTCCATTTTGTCAACTCCATTGCATTTTGAGTGGATAAGATTTAGTTAGTACATGTGTGTGTCTGGACCAGGGGTGGGCAAACTTTTTGACTCGAGGGCCACATGGGTTCTTAAACTGGACCCGAGGGCCGGAACAAAAGCATGAATGGAGTGTTTGTGTGAACTAATATAAATTCAGAGTAAACATCATTACATAAAAGGGTACGGTCTTTTTTTTCAATAGTTTTATTCATTTCAAACGGGCCGGATCCGGCCCGAGGGCCGTAGTTTGCCCACGGCTGGTCTGGACAAAAGTTTCTTTTTAAAATAAGAGTTCCCAGAGAAACATTTCTATATGAAATCATAACTAGTCATCTTAAATTACCCAAATCAACGTCACCAAGTAAATAATTCTCTAAGTAAGTAATCAAAAGCTGAGTCTCACCTTGCCTATTCCCAGACTCCAAGTGGTATGATACTCCAGATATATATCTTAGTCCTCATAGAGTCCTTTTTTTAAATTTTGGTTTTGTTTATGACATAGTTCATTACTGAACACAAACAATGTACCAGACCCTATTCTAGGTCCTAGAAAATCAAAGGAAAGAGATTCTGGTCTCATGAAAAAGAAAATTTCAGACAGTGTTAAGCTAATAAAACAGGGTAATATGATACAGTGACTGGGGGGCTACATTGTTATTAAAAGGATTAATGGAATAAAAACCAGGAATTAATCATATAGAAAGATTGGAGGAAAAGAAGTGAAGACATAATCATCACACGTCTTTTATTTTCTATCGAGTTCTCTTTGTTTCAGAGGCTTCTAAGGTATGGCTATAGTAAAATGATTTAATAGTTTTGTCAAGTATTCCATGTAATTTAAAAAGTTTAAATTTTAAATGTTTTTATTGATTTGAGAGATCAGATGCCTCTTGTACACATTCCAACTGGGGACTGAATCTGCAACCTAGGTATGTGCCCTGACTGGGAACTGAATTAGTGGCCTCTCAGACAATGCCCAAACAACTGAGCAACACTGGCCAGGGCTAGAGCAACACTATTTTTAAAAGCGTAACGGTTCTACTCCAGAATCTGCTTAAGTCTATTATTGTCACCCCAAATATTTTCTGAAACTTACACATAAAATGTTTCTACTAAAAATGTGCTAAAAGGAAAATGATCAAGGATATTAAAATATCCTATATGAGGAAGTGACCTGCATGAAATGAAACATAATTATAAAATTCAAAAATCTATATCTGATTTTGGTGAACCAGAAACCTTATCACTAAATACAATCACACAATTTTCATTTGACCATGATTCTACTAAGTTACACACCATTTTGGTTGCTTTGTCAATCTTATTTTTTCCTAACTAAACCACATTACTATTGAACTGCCTGTATCAATATAAAGCTTAATAATAAAACAGCCTATTTCACCCTATTTTCCTTATCTATTTGACTTAACCTCAACTTTCTTCACTTAATTCTTGACCACACCCATCAAGAACAGATGTGGTGTTACCACTTGAAGAAAATTTACAGTCCTTTACATCAAGGTACTGTCTCACACTGAAAATTACTACAAACTAAGTAACACATCAGTCATCCTGTTCTATTCACTATGAAATCTAGTAAACTAACAAGTTCACCCACATATTTTCCTACCTCTTTCCTCAACACACTTAAATTGTAAAATTAGAGGCCCAGTGCATGAATTTGTGCAAGTGTGGGGTCCCACAACCTGGCTGCCAACTGGGGTGGATAGGGGCCGGCTGGCTAGGGGGAGGGACCACGGGAGGTTGGCTGTGGGAGCACACTGACCACCAGGGGGCAGCTCCTGCATTGAGCGTCTGCCCCCTGGTGGTCAGTGTCATCAGAGCAACCTGTTGTTCGGTTGACCGGTTGTAAAGGTTGCTTAGGCTTTTATATATATAGATAGATGTTTTCTCGGGTTTTTTTTTAGTTTGGTTCTTAAAACTTTGCAAATATTCAAATTTTACTTTCTTTTCCACTGTAGTCTTCATTCCCCATAGCAAGATATAAAAAGAATAAATTATATGTAGTTTTTAAAGTACTAAGCAACTGATCATAATATCTAAAATAATATAAACTAAGTTTATCTTTCCTGTAAAGACCAGGTTTTTTTTTTGTTTGTTTCATCAGGCTTAGCACTTTAGTGTTTTAGGTTCAACTGTATTCAACATTTCATTTTAAAATAAGCAATAAAAGTCAGAACGTAAGTAACTTTATACCATAAATTCAAAATGTTCATTATCACCTATTTGCTTAATCAGAAGACTAAGTGTTGGTGAAGCTGTAGCCTTCATGCTGTTGTTATAACAACTGTGTAAGCAAATTTGGAATGGAAAATTAACTTCATGTTTATACTTGTACCAGCACGAATTCTCTTACCAACTGAGAAACGCCCACATAACCCATGCAAACATTCTGATCATGCATTAGTTAACTTTCAACTTAAGTTCTATGAAAGAGAGTCTGAGCCAACTGAGTTTATTTCTTCATCCATTAAATGTGCAACTAAAGATTAGTTCATTTTGCATGTTAGTTTTCTTATATTAAAAAGTCAATTATGCCTAACCGGTTTGGCTCAGTGGATAAAGCATCGGCGTGTGGACTCAAGGGTCCCAGGTTCAATTCTGGTCAAGGGCATGTACCTTGGTTACGGGCACATCCCCAGTGGGAGGTGTGTAGGAGGCAGCTGATCGATGTTTCTCTCTCATCGATGTTTCTAACTCTCTATCCCTCTCAACTTCCTCTCTGTAAAAAAATCAGTAAAATATATTTTTTTAAAAAGTCATTTATTATCACCTATATGCCTGTTACAGTTCTAGACATCATACTCTATCATGCCTGAGATAAACCCCACTGTTATGACACTGCCACTGAATAAAGCTCTAGGCACACTCTAGCATGTCTACTTTGGATCCCTGTAACTCCAGAAAATAGTCATTTTCATCTCTATTTCAGAGATAAGAATTCTGAGTGTCAGAGGTAAAAGGTACAGTGGGGATAGGAACTCAGATTTCCTTGGCTCTTGGCTTACACTCCACTGACCACTGAGTTAAAAAAAGAAAGAAAAAAAGATGTTTAATTAAATGGCTTATGGCAAATAGAACAACTGTCAGGGTGAAGGTCAGTCAGAGCAAAGCAAATCTCTCTTAAAAAAACAAAACCATACTTTCCAAATGGTAACAAGGTTGCAACAATTATATAGGCATAGCATAATTTTTATAAACATTTTCTAAAAGAAAGTAGTTCTAAATAAAATTTGAACGAAAAAAAAATATTTTAAAATGCATACAACACTCTCTCCGTTGCAATGCGAACCATTGCATGGTACACTTTAAATGGGTGAATTGTATGGTATGTGATTTATTTCTCAATAAAAGTTATTTTTAAAAAACTTTCTGGAGAACAAATTGAAAATGTGTGTCAAAAGCTTCTGAAATGTTCATTTTTTAAAATATATTTTTACTGATTTCAGAGAGGGAGAAGGAGACAGACACATCAATGATGAGAGAATCAACCACTGAGCAACACTGGCCAGGCTGAAATGTTCATATTTCTAAAGTAATTTTACTTCCAGGAATTGACTATAATAAAATATCAGTCATACAGTGGTTTTTTTTAATGTATAAATATGTCTCAAATTATAGTATCCCCAAGTTCTAACCTGCCTAAAATACCATCAACAGAAAAAGAGTAAACATTCTTTACAATGAAATGTTAACAATTTTTAAGACTACATTCTCAAAATATTATTTCACAATAAAGCATGTTACAAAATAATACAAATGTGCAATTCCAATTTGTAAAGAAAATACATATAGTGTAGAGATAACAAAAAAAACACGAAGAATATAGAACAAAGTGTTAATAGTAGTTACTTCCAGTTGGTAACATTTTAGGCGATTTTAAATGGTT